AATATGACGCAAGATGTGATGCAATATTATTGGTGGAAACTAAGGTAGCCAATGATCTTTCCTTGTGCACATGTATATTCACTTTCATTTCCTTCAATAAACGACTTTGTGATTCGCCTGTCTTGTGGCCTTTTTCCTCGCGTCTCGATCCTGCGGGTTATTGCGAGTTCAAGACATTGCGGTCCAGTGCCACCGGTTTTCTAATTCGTGTTCCGTGATTCCTATTGCGTAGTTCGTGTCCTGAATTCTGTGCGTAATTTCACTACTACTACTTCTACGATCACCACAGTCTATCAGGAATATCTCTGCTCAGGTATGATCGTCTTACACGAGGCGATGGAGTGCTACTTTATCAGTGAACTAATCTACAGTGCGAACAGCTTGTCACTCCCGATGTAACACCCGATTCGTTTTGGTGGTCATTTAGACTCTCCAAAAATGATAAGTGTCTAATCGATGTCGTGTACTGACCTCCCACATCTTCCGACTTAGTCAACGAGATTCTGTTGCAAACGATGAGAAATGGATTATCACTAAAGTTTACCAATGTCTTCATACTGGGTGACTAACTGTCCCAATCTTATTAGACCGTGGGCTTCCCGCCAGCCTTTCGAGAGACAATTATTTCAGTCCATTGCCTTGCACCCATTGTACAACCACGTGACAGAACCCACCAGATTTGGAGCACGTTACGCATCATCCACACTGGATTTAGTGTTGACAAACGAGGACCTAATTGTGGAATCTGTCAATGTCACGCCTCCACTAGGACGTAGTGATCATGCCGTAATGAACTTTGATAATATAGGCTGTGCCTCTACCCAAGAAACACGACAGAGCAGTTTTCGCGCCATCATAGACTACAAAAATTAGCAAACACTGGCAGTACTTATGCAATGGGTCCTCCCAGAAGACGATCACGATCCTTTGGTGGCATGGACAAGCTTCACTGATTATCTTACCGAAATTGTGACGGCTGCAACAAGTATAAAATCTTCTGCAAAATCTAAAACTCCACGGTCATTCGTTCGCAGCCCAAACAAAGAAATGGATAGAGCAAAGGGACTTTTCCTGGTGTAGGTTCAGAAGATGTCCATCTATCGAAGCTTGGAATAAGTGTTCCTTACTGCGAAATCAAGTTTGTACGAGAGAATAAATTGATGTACCAAGAAACCCTGGCTCAAAAATTTATCTGAAATCCCAAATTGCTTTATAAACATCTCAACTCTACAAGGAAGGCGAAATGCGGAATGCCATCATTGAGATCGTCTGGACATCTTTCAACCACTACTCTAGAAGCAGCGGTGTT